TGTAATAATCTGAACAATAAAGATTTAATTTAAAAAATAAAATAAAATAAAATAAAAACCTGAAGCATATTAAGACCTCTCTCCTCTACCTATGCAGCACAGTGCAGTAATCGGATTAGTTGAGCTATCTAGAAGGAGCACTGGCGTGTTCAGCATCAGACCCTGTGCACACAGACACCCATGTGGTAATTCAGATGGTTTGTAGGCCAAGTTCCAACCTCTTACATGAATTCTGTCAAACACACAGATAAGGTGATTATTCAGAGAAATTCCAAGTGTACATGACAAATGAATTGTGTTGAAATACGATTATTTTGTTCCTATTTAAAGTAGTTGGTTTTTTGTAATAAATAATATCTTCCAGAGTTATAAAATATCAATCCACTTCCCAAAGTTAAATTAATGTGTGAGAGAATGAAACAGCATCATGCAGGTGAAAATCACTTGATACAAGGATTTCCCTGTCCTGCAGGTTTTCTGTTGTTTTTTTTGGGGGGGGGCGTGTTTTTGTTAATCCTCACCTGGGGATATTTTCCCATTCACTTTTAGAGAGAGTGGAAAGGAGAGAGAGAGATTGCTGTCTTCCGCACATACCCCAACCAGGGTCAGGGATTGAACCTGCAACCCAGGTAGGTGCCCTTTACTGGGAATCAAACCTGCAACCCTTCGGTGTATGAGCCAATGCTCTAACCACTTGGCTACACCAGTCAGGGCTCTATTTGTTTTGTTTTAAAACTTATTACTGGGTATCCTTCCAGGAACAAAATGAAGTAATCTAAAGAGTCTTGAGTTCGTTTCTGATGAAATTACCAACATCATTTGAGTGTGAAAGCGTGAGGCCTGTTTTCCACCAAAAGCCTTCCTAATGGCCGACAGCAGATGAGGGTCACCTGCTGTGAATGGGCAAACAAAGGAATGCCATGTGCTGATGATCTCAGCAACCTGAACAGCACAGTCACAGAACCCAAACAGAACAGCTTTAATCATGTCCACACTTCCAGGTTTTTAAGACTCTTATCTATATTAATAAAAGGGTAATACGCTAATTAGACTGGACATCTTCTGGATGTCCTTCCGGACAAAGCCACGGTGGTGGGGGCCAAGGCAGAGGCGGTTGAGGGCAATCAGGCTGGCAGAGGAGAGCAGTTGAGGGCAATCAGGCTGGCAGAGGAGAGCAGTTGAGGGCAATCAGGCTGGCAGAGGAGAGCAGTTGGGGGCGATCAGGCCAGCAGGGGAGCAGTTAGGGGGTGATCAGGCCGGCAGGGGAGCAGTTAGGGGGCGATCAGGCTAGCAGAG